CACACAGAATTCCTCTTCGAAGTAGCAATGAGGAAGAAATCTCTCACTTTCCCTCCACTCTTACAATCTCTCAAAGAAATTCTCACAATTGTTACACACTAATGGAACCTCTCTAACCTCTAGAGCCTCTAGACTCTCACAACCTCCTCTCTCTCCAGTCATCAGGACCTCCAAGGCATCTTAATTTTTGGCCAAAATGTTCTTTTAAAGTTGTTGATGAGCTTTCCCAAGAGTTACCTAAGCATCCCTTCAAAATTTGGCCTTATCCAAAGCTTGAGTAGGCATAACCGTCGATCTCGCCGTCGGCGGCCTCGAGGGCTCTGCCGGCGGGCTTCTGAAGCATTTTGTCCTGTAGTATCGGGAAAAACTCGCCGTCGGCGGCCCAGTTCCAATCTCTACCCAAATCTTTACATTTTGGTCATTTTCGCTCCAAATTCGCTCCTTTTTGTATTTTTTTGCTCCAATGACCCTAATTCATCATTCCTGCAACAAAATATCAAAAATACCTTTCTTTAAAGTGTAATATCATTAAAAATAATCTAAAATATATGAAAATCTCAACATATTTTCCTTTGGTCAAAATCCTCCAAACTTAACTATTACTTGTCCTCAAGTAATTTTAGTACTACATAAAAGTTATGATCTACTGTAGCAAATTTTTAATTCAGAAATACTATAAGTTTGATTTAAATAAATATCATAGTGAGATTTTTAGAAAAAATTCAAGTGATTGAATTAACTCTGTAGCCACAAGATTATCTAGTCATCAAGTTTTAAGAGTTCTAGTCTTCTATTTATTTCAAGAATGACTATATGTTGTAATATTAAGTCACTTAGAATATTCAAGAGATAGGAACTTCATGAGAACTCTACTAATAAAAGACTTGTTCCATAAATATAAGTTCAGGAATGTATTTAAGTTTTCCCTTTAGGTGGGTCTAGTGAAGCCAATTTTTGATTAGGTATCTCCTCAAGCTTCTCCTCACTTTTATATATTTTTTTTCTTTTTTCTTTCTTTTCTATTCTCTTTTTCATTTGGATTTCTTTCAATCATATATATTTTTCTTTTCTTTCAGGGATTGTTGTCAATCCTTTCTTTTTCCTTTTTCAAGTGAGGATTACTATATCTGGATAGCCTTTAATGATTTTGAACTTCATTTTTATTTCCCTAAATTTGAAACTCAAAGTATTTCTTTACTTTATAAATATTTCATAGTTTTTACAACATTGAGCCCCAATCTTTTCTTCTCAAATGAATTTCCAGATTCTTAATACTTCAAAATATAGTTTCCTTTACTTTAAATAGTTAACTATAATCTTATTCTCTTATACTAAATATCTTAAGTTACAAAATTAATTTTCATTACAAAAATATTTCTTTAAATCTACCATAATATTTAAATAGTTACAAAAATATAGTTACCTGAATTAAATTTACAACATTAAATCATATAAATAATTTTTGAAAATATTGAAATAGAGGACATCTAATAGTTAATCTTTTTCTTCCCTCCCCCAAACTTTTTTTAAATATGAAATAATACAGGTGGAAAGAAAAAACTATTAATATAAATCATACCTCAGTATTGTAGGCATTTTCATCATTTTGAAATTTTTGCAGGCCTTCTCAACATTTTTCTTCACCTGGTCTATAATATTAGGAGTTTTCTACACATATAAATCATTAGAGGAATTTCTGGGTAATAAAATTTTGAAATAAGTATCAAACTAAAACAAGCACAACATTTCCTAACACAATCACAATACTAAACAATTAAAACTTTAAAAAAATGCAAAAATGAAAATCACATTATAATCCACAATTCTACGTAATATCTATTGAACTACACATGAACATTTAAAACACTAACTTTATAACAAGAATCCAAGTACACAACACAAAATAAAAATGAAAGACCAAATACATAAACATCCATTTCTATTACAAAAAGATTACATAAAATAAAAATACAAAAATAAGTACATTAATTTCATTCTATATCAAAATCCCAAGCTATATCTTCATTGCCTTGATCAGCAGGTGGATTGGGTTGATACTGAGTATATCGGGGGCATTCAGGAAACGTAACATCAGACTCTCCTCTGTAGTGTCGGGCCTGAGCTTCATAAT